TCTCTCTCTCTCTCTCTCTCTCTCTCTCTCTCTCTCTCTCTCTCTCTCTCTCTCTCTCTCTCTCTCTCTCTCTCTCTCTCTCTCTCTCTCTCTGTCTCTTACCCTGTTGGCCAGGATGGTCTCGATCCCTTGACCTCATGATCCGCCCACCTTGGCCTCCCAAAGTGCTGGAATTACTGGCGTGAGCCACTGCACCAGGCCATAAAGTGTAATCTTTTGTGTCTGGCTTCTTTGACTTAGTATGGTGCTTTTGAGATTTGTTGGTGGTGTTCCATGTATCAGTAGTTTGTTCCTATTTATTGATTGAGACTGATAGTGCCCCATGGAATAGATGGATATATCATTTGTTTATACACTCACTGATGGTTAAAGCCTTCTTTCCAGTTTGGAGCTGTCATCCAGATTGAAATATCCAACTGTCATATGAAATTTACCTTATTTCACTCTTCAATTTACTCAGTTTTACTTGATGTATTTTAAATCTCATCCATATACAGTTTGAATTGTCTTCTGGATAAAATAATTCTTTTCTCATTATGAAATGTATCTCTGGAAATGTTTTTTGTTTTGAAGCGTCTTGTTTCATATTAATATAGCTAGTTCAGCTTGTTTTGGATTAGTATTGTCATGGTGTATCTTTGTCAATTTTTCCAATTGATCTGTGTCTTTATATTTAAAATAGATTTCTTGGAGGCAATATATCAAACCTGATAACTTTTAATTAGAATTTAAGTAAAAGTATTCTATTAATTATAGAGTATTTACACTTAAATGTTCATATGGTATGAGTTCAAACATAGAGTATTCCTATTTGTTTCCTCTTTATTCTTTTTGTTCTTTGTGTTTTTTTCCTTTTTCTTCTTTGGAATTGAGGATTTTTTTTTTGTATTCCATATGACCTCTACTAATGTCTTATTAGCAATACCTGTTTATTTGTATGTAATAGTTGCTTTAGGGCAGATTGTCAGTGTGTGGTTTGCAGACCCATAGGTATATCTGCATCCTTTTATGGAGTCTGCAAGGTCACAGCCGTATTCAAAACAATACTTTAAAAATACAACAATTTTTTTTACAGTGTTGACATTTGTATTCATGGATCACAGGTGGGTAGAAATAAAAGTCTGGCACTGTAGCACAAATCTTGGCTGTGGCACCAAAACACCAGCAGTTATTATATTCCTTACTGCTTTGCACTTGAGTATATGTCTTTTTAATATTCCAGATATTAAAACTGGAAGTGTGCATAAAGCACTTCTATGTATTATGAGGTGTCTATTCTAGCTGCTGGGAACTTGAGCTATTTCTGTCCTGTGAGAGCTCTGCAAATTTTTTTGCATACTGCTTTTTAATATTTTTCCCTCAGTAATGGAGTTCTACCACATGTGAACACATATCAGTCTTTGTTTATTTTTATTTATTTTTATTTTTTGAGACAAAGTCTTGCTCTGTTGCCCAGGCTGGAGTGCAGTGGTGTAATATCTGCTCACTGCAACCTTTGCTTCCAGGTTTCAAGCAATTCCCCTGCCTCAGCCTCCCAAGTAGCTGAGACTACAGGTGTGTGCCACCACACTAGGCTAACTTTTATATTTTTAGTAGAGTTGGGGTTTCACCATGCTGGCCAGTCTGGTCTTGAACTGATCTGCCCACCTCCCAAAGTGCAGGGATTATAAGCATGAGCCACTGTGCCTGGCCATGTATCAGTATTTAGTGAAATAATTGATTGGACCTCATACAGATCTCTGGAGCTTTGTGTGCAATTCACTCTCCTCTGATATTCAGCCCTGCATATTTTAACATTCCACTTCCAGCAAACTCTGACCTCTGTCTTCTCAACTCAGACTTCTGGATGCTGTTTGGGTTCTCTGTTTTGTTCTGTAACCTGGAAATTACCTCCAGACAGTAACCTGGAGCAGTCAAAGGGTTTGCCTCATTGTCCCTCTTCTCTCAGGGATCACAGTCTTGTGCTGCCTGTTGTCCAATGTCTGAAAGCCCTTGTTTTACAATATTTTTTCCAGTATTGTAGTTTTTTTTTTTTTTTTTTTTGACGGAGTTTCGCTCTTGTTACCCAGGCTGGAGTGCGATGGCGCGATCTCGGCTCACCGCAACCTCCGCCTCCTGGGTTCAGACAATTCTCCTGCTTCAGCCTCCTGAGTAGCTGGGATTACAGGCACGCACCACCAAGCCCAGCTAATTTTTTGTATTTTTAGTAGAGACGGGGTTTCACCATTTTGACCAGGATGGTCTTGATCTCTTGACCTCGTGATCCACCCGCCTCAGCCTCCCAAAGTGCTGGGATTACAGGCTTGAGCCACCGCGCCCGGCTATTGTAGTTGTTAATGGCAGAAGGACACTTGCCGTAGCAGTTAAGCTTTCATGAGTAGAACCCTCCTTCAGTATTTCAGTAGAAACAGTTAACATTCTGATATTTGAGAAGTTAACAGTTAAGTGCTCTGTGCTATGAAAGAAAAGTTATGGCCAAGTGCAGTGGCTCATGCCTGTAATCTTAGCACTTTGGGAGGCTGAGGCAGGCAGATTGTTTGAGCCCAGGTGTTTGAGACCAGCCTGGGCAATATAGCAAGCACTTGTCTCTACCACTGCCCCCAACTCCCCCCCCCCCCAAAAAAAAAAGAAAAATTATATAGGCTTAAGTTATTTTGGCTTTGACGATTAGAAATCTTTACCATTTTCCCTTCGGTATCATGTTGTAATCTTAGAAATTTTATGTTATTAGCAATTCTGATTAAAATCTTAACTTTTTAGATTAAGGCTCAAATTTTTGAGAGTGATTAAAAATTACTGATTTTTAAAGACAAAGTTAAGAGATACGACATTTAGCTCTTTTAATTTCTTCATTGATTTCCATAGTAAAACAAAGGCATTAACAGTGATATGCAAGGGAGTCTTGCTCAGGTAGCAGGATAGAAACCCCCTCCTTCACCCCGTAATACTATATTTTTCAGTTTCTCTATCTGTTTTTATGGTGGCAGGTTATATCTTTGCATTCTTTTTGATTATTATCTTATTAATCTCCTTTATTTTTAATTTAATTTATTTTTTTTGGAGACACAGTTCACTCTGTCACCCAGGCTGGAGTGCAGTGGTGCAATCTTGGCTCACTGTAACCTTTGGCTCCTGGGTTCAAGTAGTTCTCTTACCTCAGCTTCCCAAGTAGATGGAATTACAGGTGTGTGCCACCAGGCCCAGCTAATTTTTTTTGTATTTTTAGTAGAGACTGGTCTCAAACTCTTGACCTCAAGTGATCCACCTACCTTGACCTCCAAAAGTGCTGGGATTACAGGTGTGAGCCACCATGCCCTGGGTTCCCTTTTTTTTTCTTTTTTAAAAAAAGAGTTTTCTTTATAAGTGGATGAAAGAAAGAGTGGGGAATTCTCTGGGTTTTTTTTTTTTTTTTTTTTTTTTTTTTTTTTTT